GCAGCTGTCAAATACATGGTGATGGATGCATTTCCCTTTGCCAGAAGCTTGAATTTTATCATTTGCCATCAAAATTGTCAGTTGTCTCTCCCTCAAAGTCAACAGATTCACCACATCCAGCCTGAAGCAAAGGCACACTCTCAAATTTTAAATGTTCAAAAATGAGTCATTTTTAGGGCTTCATCCAGGGGACTTTTCAGTAAAATACGAGTTTACCCCCCAAGTGCACGGGGTAAGTCACACAGGGAACGCTAACCGTGAAGGGTTGCGGCCTCGTCTAGAATCCTGCAAGGCGTCAGCAGCTTCCTTCCCCGCTGACTGTGTGGCGTCGGCACAGATGTCCTCGCCAAGCCGTGAGATCCCAGCTATCCCACCTATCCATCACTCCCTGCATGCGTTGCCAAGCATTCACATCGGAGAAGTCTTTGGAGACTGCTCTACGCTGAAACTGGACGACTTCAAGGGAAATCAGCTGGCTCAGCCATGCCCGTGCGTCTGCCTGCTTGTCAGATAGAAGTAAATTTCTGCAGGCGAGACATTAACTCCGTCTTCTTGCTTCACCTGCAAGTGGAAACCAGAGAGCTACTGTAAAGTTACAAAGCAGCAGTGCCCTGGTTTTTGTTTTTTTACTGACTTTTCACCCAGTGGCCGTTTAATAATGGGGGCTGTTTATTCTGATGCACTGCCTTATTGGTTTCCTGGGACACTGAGGGCTTCTCCACCCCCTGCAGTTCATAACTTACTTTGGAAGATGTTCCAGTGACTCCGTCATTTTCACTTGGAGAGGAGCAACAAACAATTTTAAGCTTGTATTTATTTATTTTTGTTCTGTTTTGCAATATTATCTTTTTCAAAAAATTTTCTAAAAACAAAAAAAATAGCCTGACTGGTGTAGCTCCGTGGACTGAGTGTGGGCTTATGAACCAAAGTGGCTGCAGTTGGATTCCTAGTCAGGGCATGTGCCTGGGTTGAGCGCCAGGTCCCCAGTAGGGGGCGCATGAGAGGCAGACTCACATTGATGTTTCTCTCTTTTTCCCTTCCCTTCCTCTCTCTCTAAAAATAAATAATTAAAATCTTTAAAAATAAATATAACCGTTTTATATAATTATAGAACATGTTATTGTATACTTACACAATTATTATACTGACACTTATTATTTCATTATAAAATAAATGAAAAATTATATATGCCCTTTTTTATGTTTAAAGTTGCACTGCAGGCTTTTGAAAGGAAAATGAGAAGACCTAAGCCAACCGCATTGTTTAACATCTAAAAAGGCTGAAAAGACATTGGCATAGCGGAGTTCTCTGACTCATAGAAGTGGGGAAGCTACTTCAAAGAAAACGACACGTTTCTAAATAAGAAATGAAAATATAATGAAATCTATTCTTCCCCGGGCTTCATGGATGTTAACATTTAACTTAATGTGTGTTACGCAACAGAACATTCTTGAATGGTGTTATCGCACCAGCCCTGGTTCAGTTGTAGCCTCATTTTGAGATCAATCTTTACAGAAAAAGAACTGAACTTTTCAAATGCAGATATAATGAGCTCTTTAAAATCCAAAAAAAAAAAACCCAAAACCCCAAACATCTGTTAGGGCTTCAGACTGGCGGTGAAAAAACTCCAGTAGCATCTCAAATGAGCGCTTCTCATACCGGCTGGAGCAGTGACACAGGATGTCTAGCTTGTAAAGAGTTAATTACATCTACATTTAAAACATTCAGTATGTTTCGATATCTGTCTCAAAATCATGTTGTAATCAAACTGTCACAATAAAATTGCTGGAGAATATTTTTTTCTGTGCCTAAGTCACAGTATGGCAAATTATTCACAGCTACGGAGCGGAAGGAATAAGGAAGGACATTGGTCAGTTTTTGTTTCTCCCTCTTCCCATTCTGTCTGGGGTAGATAGATTTCTCCCTTGTACAAGTAAATGACCTCTTTGAAATACTCAGGTTCATCCTCCCTGACAACATTGGAGACAGACAGTGTAAGGGTGGTGGAGAAAGGGAGTTTGTTAGTCTAGTGGGAGAATACCGTCAATCAAAATATAAATGAACAGCAAAATAATCGTCAGCTGTGGTCACAGAAACACTACCACTGGAGTGGAGAGGGTCGTCCAGGAAGACGTGTCTGACAATATAACACGTGATCCAAGAACTGAAGAATGAGGAAGATCTGGCTATGTACTCCAGGGCCTGGCCGAATGATGTGGCAGACAGTAAAGGGTTTGAGTTCAAAGTGCCGAGAATGGGAACAGCCTTCAATGCTGCAGAAAGAGAAAGGGTGTTGTGGCTAGAAGGGACAGAGCAGGGGCGAGCCGCGGGGGCGCAGGGAGCAGGTGGCCGGACGAGAGGGCACAGGGCGTTGTGGTCCGTGAAAAAGATGGTTGGTTTTGTTCCAAAGGCAATGGAAAGCCAGGTGAGTATCATGATTAGGTCTAGATTTTTTTAAAAAAACGTATTCAGGTTGCATAGTGGAATAGATTTGGTGGGGTGAGAAGACAACTTACTCTGTGAACATCATTGTGCTTCTGCATAATAATTTGTCCTTGACCTTGAACAACCTGGGCAGTAAATTGATCTTAGTATTCTTAAATTCAGTGTAGGCTGTTTTTAAAAATCATGGTGTTGTTTATTTTTGTTTGTTTCCGTGGGTCATATGGACTGTCTATTGTGGAAATGGTGATAAGACTGATGGCTAATTCAAATGGAGTTACAGAAACAGTTTTTCCTAAAGTGTTTTTTTTTTAACTATCGGTCCTCTCACCATTACTACAAAGACAAAGATAAATTTTTGATGACCAGAACTGGCCTTTCTCTCAACCTTGTCTGGCGTGAGTTATAAAAATAATGCATGTTAGCTTTCAGCTACAAAATAGAATACCAGCTACACTTCCACGACAATCCTAGGAAATGCGTGCAAGCCTGAAACGTTGTAGTTGAAAAGGAGATAATGACTAATGGCCATGTCTATCATTAAGCATTATTTAAAATAGTAAAAAAGTTACGATGAATAATAAAGAACCCGGTAGCTGAGGTGGTCAAGCTGGTTGTGAACATAAGGAAAGATGTGATGGTCTTTTCAAGACAACACAGCTGCCCAGGGGTGACAGTCAGTCTGAGTGACTCTGTAAGACCTGGTTTCCTTCCTTATGTGCAGTAGGAATTGACTATGTTTCTTGAAAGAATAAACAAATGTCTATTGCTTTAGCTGATGGGAGGCAGGAAAGCTTACTGGGGGTGTCCTGCCCCCGATGAACTATGTTGCCCTTATTTCTGCTTCTATCATGGAAATTGCATATAGGTATTTATTTTTTACCCCCCCAAGAGATAAAAGAACTGTTTTAAAAAGAGTTTGCTAAGGAATTTGCGTCTCGATGCGAAATGCACGACCGCTTTCTAATAGCGCCCGTAACATACACGGAGCAAACGGCAGGCGCTGTGAGTGCACCCGTGGCCACCAGTCCTTCCCATTTCCACGGTCAGTTCGTGTCCCCGTTGGACAGACACACACACAGCGGCTCAGGACGAGGACAGCTGTCCTGCAGCCACACGTTCAGCGCGTCCGAGCTCACAGACACGAGAAGCAGCACTCTTACGGGCCCACGCAGCCACTGTCTTGATCTCCAGAACTAGTTCCCTCCAGAAAGAGCCCCCTCCTTTCACGTTTCAGTCCTGGACCACGGCCGAGCAGTGTCTTGAAAAATGCAGCTGGGGGCAAAACTAGGTTCGCAATTGTTCGCATGGAAAGTAACACAAGAGTGAGTAAGTACCACAAGAATACACTCTGTGTCTGTGCATTCACAGCTGTAAACCTGCTTTCGCCCCACCCTGTAACCCTAACTTCATAAGAGTTTAAAGTGATAATGAACACCATAGTAGTAAAATAAAATTAAATTTCAGAATCGTCTTTGAAATTGGATACCATGTGCCTCCAAGATAAACTATAACCTTTGAAGCCTTCACCCATAAATAAAAGAAAATCCAATTCAAATTCACTGAGACTAGAAAGATGCGTATTGTTCCCAAACCAAAAAGCCCCCAGAGGGGGGCAGCTGCAGAGTTGGTCGCTACCATTTCCTGGCGACATAGGTAGGGACTCACTCATCCCCAGGTTTCTGTTCTGCTCATCGTCAGAGCTCACCCGTCACCATCACAAGGCCACTGCACGTGATCCTGCAAGAGCACCCAGGGCAAACAGGACACATCCTGAGCTCTCCGATGGGCTGAGCTTTATGGCACACGGGCTGCACCCCTGTCTCAAAATCCGTCCTAGGTCACGGAAGGGAGCAGCCACCACGCTGGCTTCTACTGACGAGGGCTCTTCTGAGGCTCACGAGAAGTCAAGCTTTCGAGACACTTATGTACAGAGTGGATGAGTAGGTACCTGAGCCCATTGCAGGCGGAGAGGAAGGGAAGCTGGGGGCGGGGTGCTGGGTGGACACTGAATTCTGGGGGCCTTAAAAGGGAAAGTTAGGGAGACCATTTGATGAGGAGAAGATTGCATGGTCTGGCAAGGGGGAAAGCCTTAGGTTTTGTGTCTTAACTTTGTGCTTCCAATCGATCAGTTGAAAATTATCTTTCAACAATTTACAGAATCTTCTAAATCAGACGAAAGAGTTGTATCTAGAACAGATGGAAGTTTTGACCAATCTTGAACTATCTATGGAGATACTTTACAAAGTCATCCATGGTCCAATTATGAAGTTAGAGATAATGAGTAAGATTCATATTCGATCATTAGGGAAAAGAATGGCATTAGACGGTTTAAATAAAAAATGGCTTGTTTTATATTGACAAAAACTGTAGTAATAACAATATGTTATGTAAGTTAACATTTCCATCATAATAGTATCAGGAAGTTTTTATTTAAGCATTTAATTTCCCCTAATGTGGATTTTCAGTCAGATTCCTGAATCATTTAACGGTATCTTACTCAACATCATTGTAATAAATGCAGAATAAGATTAATTGTCTTTTTCTCAATTTTTAAGATCCTGACTTTAAGGACCTTGGCGTTTTGAAACCATTACCAGGTTGGTAAAACAGCTGTTTAATCACGTTCAGAGGTCTTTATTTGCTGCTGTGAAATATACTTTTGGTTTATTATTCAAGCTCGTTTTTGTGTTTGTTTGGCATTCTGTTATTTAGCGTGTGAGTTTGAGATGGGCGGTCCGGAAGGAATTGTGGAGTCTATACAAATTGTGAAGGAAGGCAAAGCTTCTGCTAGCGAGGCCGTTGATTGCAAGTGGTACATCCGGGCACCTCCACGATCCAAGGTCAGTCTCAAGGTCAAACCCAGACTTGATAGCCCACCTGGGAAGTGTCACGGCATGCATAGCTTTCAGCAAGCTGGACGTGCTCAGTGCCACCATAAACTGTCACTTTATTTGGGTTCTGAAGTGCAACTTGTCTTCTCCTGTCACGCGTCACTCTCACGTCATAAGTGACATGGAGATGTTGCCGAAGATCATGGGGTAACCCGAACAAGAGACTCTACTGTAATTACGGTGTTCTGAAAAATGGGTCAAAATGCTGTCCTTAAGTGGCGGTTCTAAGTATTACAATTACACTTTCGCTTCTCAACCTGACGTCACATCGAGGAAATAAATTGACCAGGGCTTGCAAAACAACACGTCTCTGGCACATAAAGTGAGCCCATAGGAGGGCTGGGTGCCCGGGGTCAGTGTCACTAGGGGAGCATTAATGTCACGTGGAAGTATGTGTGGCAGGACAGTGAGGTGGTGAGGTCTACATTCTGGAAAGTCGTTCTCCCTGTGAAGTATGGACAGAGGGGTCAGCACTGGGAGCAGAAGAGCCCCGGGAGGCCTGGAAGACACCCCCGGGGGCCGAGGCTGCTTCACGACGGCAGACAGGGAAGCAAAGGCACCCACAGATACGGCAGATTGCGGTGGCTGGGTATGCGGGACTCGGGGAAGTGGGAGTCACCTTTGAGGAAGTCGGTGTTTCAGGAACTGTCTCTGTCTGTCTTCACAAACATTTTTGCCTGGGGTCTGCGTACAATTTGGAAATGAACTTCTGTTCCAGGTTTATCAGTTGCAGGTCACCTCACACCTGAACCAATCTTTGAAAAAATTAATTGCATCTCAGTGAAAGGCACGAATGCCTTCTTTAAAAAAATCAAAGGCTGTTGGTACCAACCGTAACACTCAGCTCCCCTCATCGATTCTAAGGGAGCTAGACTGTTCTTTCTCATGCTCTTTCCCAACAGGCAAGTGCCCCTCATTTTTCTTAAACTCTGTGAATGAAAGGTTTTTAGAAGGTTTCTTTCACTGGACACATTTGAGTCCCACCTAAGCATCACAGGTAGCATCGTTGTCACCGTCACCATCACAGAGCAGGTTTTTATGGGAGTGTAAGCATACACCATTTCTGCCAGCTCATGAGTAGATTGTCTTTTGTACAGAACCAAAATAGGCATGGCCAATGTCCCTGCCTGTTAGAGAATCGGGCATTCTGTAACTCAAAGGAGAAGCCACCTGCAGGGCTGGACAGAGATGGCTTCATTGTGACAGGCTGTCTCTGTCAAATGAAAGGGTCGAGGATGGGAGTAGCTCTGAATGGCTGGAGCAGAGCAGGAGCCGGAGCTGCCTGCCTGCCTTTGTGGACCTGCTGGTTCTGTGCTGCTCCCTGCAGGCTGGGGGAGCAGGCGGTCGGAGCACAGGTGTGATCGGAGCACGAGCGAAACTTGAACTGGCTCCTGGGGAAAACGTGCATGGTAACTGCTGATGGAAACCTGCTGCTTATTGTTTAAGTTGTTTAAAGTCAAGTACCTATTGCTCATCGGCCTTTTCACAAGTCGAATAGACAATATCTGGTATCTGCTTTGTTTGAGAACAGTGATACAGACAATCCCATTGAATCCAGTTTTTGGAACTGGGAATACCAGAGGCCGGGAGAACTTTGGAAATCCATTGCTCGTCAGCTCACTGGACAGATGGGCGAGCTGGGTCAGGGAGGTGGAGTGTTACAGGGGTCAGCAGTGTGGTGTGGGGTCATGCCCCCGTGAGCCAGTCTTTGGGATTCGCACGGATTCCAGAGCAAGGAGGGTGGAAGGGTCGCGTGCTGTCTAGTTCTGGGTCTGGTCCAGACATGCATGTTGGGTGATCACATTACGGTAACTACTTGGATGTTCATCCCGTGAAGTGGGGCTTATTTTTCAGTGCCAAGAAAAGTGTCTGTCATTCAGAGAGATGTCAGGGAGAAAATGAAGAAATGGGCATGGCATTGATCTTTGCACGGTTGAAGGGCTGCGATAGACATGGGAAGAAAAGGATAAGGCTAAATCTGCCTGGTTTTAAGCACTGCAATTTACCTGAATGCTTGAAACTGGAGCAAGATCGCTTTTGATTCAATATGGATAAGGTTTTCGGTTTTTGTCTGAATAATCGAGCTGCCCAAAGATCAAATGCGACTCTGCAGGAGGAATCCAAGAAGAATCTGGCAGGGATTTTGTATAATAATTAAAAAGTCAAGTACATTTTTGGCATAGATAATATTAAACCCCTTTCAAGACCAAAACTTGATGAGTCTGTAAGGAAGAATTGCCCAAATACTTGGTGGTTAGCAACAGTGATGAAGCAAGATCTTTATCCTGACTCAGTCCAGGGTGATGTCATAAAACCATACTGTTCTGGGCCATTTTCAGATTTGTTAAGTCAGGAAAATAGATAAGCCAAACACTTATAAAAATGCACAAATGTAGCTAATTTACTGACTTTAGGTCTTGGGAGTCTAAAACTCTAGCTTTTAGTAATTACCCATCATTTAAAGCTTGAAATGAATTTTGCATATGTTGTTACCTACTTAAAAATGTTTTGAATAAAATTAGGATACCATTAAAACGTATATAATAAGTCACTATTTCAAAGTGAGGTTGTGTTAAAGTTAATTATATGTTGAACTTTATTGTTGTGGGCAGAATCTTTCAGAGAACCCCTAAGATTTCCAGCCTGGACCCTAGGACTGTGTCTAAGATAAATATCACACAGTTGATTATGTTAAGTTCCCGGCAAAGGGGATTTTGCTGATGCAATTAAGGTTCCCAATCAGTTCACTCTGAGTTAATTAAAAGAGAGTTTATCCAGGTGAGCCTAATCTAATCACATGAGCTTTAAAAAAAAAAAAAAACAACAACTTGGAGTTTTTTCTGGCTGTGGGCAAAGGGGGAGCCCGAGAGCCTGAAGAGCGAAGATTGTTTTCTGGGACCTAAGGACCAGCCCTGGTAAACAGTCACCAGGAAAACAGGGGCTTCAGAGGCTGGCTTTTCTCTCTCATATACGCACCCTCAGCAGCCTCCTAGCATTTCCAACTCACGGAGGTGATAAATGGGTGTTGTTTCAAGCTGCTCAGCTTGCGGAGAAAACTAATGGGATAGACAAAGGGGTAGTAACTATAATTGATTACAATGATACGTTTTAAGGTTCTAAAGACTGTGTTTGCCCTTATTATCTTGAAAAAGAAAAAAGAAAACATTGGGTAAACAAAATGAAAAATTCAACTGATGAGATAACTACCGATGAAAATGTGGTAGCTCAACTGTTTTTAAATGATATCTCCGTTTTGTGCTGACCGATTTTGGAGGGCTGCTCAGATGGACTTTAAAAATATTCCGTACTTGCCTGTTTATCAGAAAGTCACTTTAACGTTGTCATGTCAGGATCTGCTGCAGGGTGTGTGTCTTTTCGACACCCCACAAAGGAAGAGGCCGTCCTGGTTTTCTTTGGGGCGCCACTGCCTCCCATATCCACGGGGTGTCCAGTTACACATCAAACAGCAGCCGTGCAAGTCCTGGGCTCCCCCGTGTTTAGGGTGTGGGCTCTGTTTTCCCGAGTGTGAAGTTCTGAAACCATGGATGGCAGTGCATTTAATTGGTACTTAACTCGGCGAAAACTGCTTCGGCGAGTCTTGGGTAACTGCCCCAGACGGGGTCTGTTTTCTACACATCGTTGTGACGTGAAGGGAGGCCCCAGGTTGGGTGGTGACTCTTAAATGTCTGTAAATATATTACTTAGTAAGCTGTCAGCTAGATTCACTGGCTGTGGGTATGCAAAAGCATCTGTCTCCCCTTATTAGTGTGATTGGAGGACAGATATTACTAGTAATTGGTTATGTGTTCCGAAGCTTCCCAAGTCCTGTTTAATAAATCATTTTGTCAGCTCAAACTTCGTGATTGATTAGAAAGAAGAATGCATCAGAATGATTCCGTGAGAGGAGATGGTAATCGGGCCATTTTCGGGGAGTTACATAGGATTCCGTTGACCATTTTCTCTTTTCTTCAGCAGAGAGACCAAAGCGCTTTCTGCCATTTTCTCCCTTAAGTAAACGCAGAGTCAGAAGGCACCCTTCCCTGCTGTGATCTTATGGCACAAGCCTCACGCTGCCGGGATGTTACTGAAGTCACAAATGCAGGGCGGGCTTCTATAGGACCTCCACCAGAGCGAGCCTGTGGAAGCTGGGTCGCTTTTCTGGCTAATGACATTTGCAGGGACAGCCTGCACCCAGGAAAGCTAAATACCCACTGGCATGCTTGATTTCTTTTCTTGGATGATAAAAAAGAAGGAGGTAAAAAGTAATTGAACACTTCAGGAGTGAACGGTAAAATATAGTGCCTGCCCTTGTTCACTTCCTCTGTGAATAGTGTCCTGTCCAATCCGAATGGCCTTTCAGTGTGGCAGGTGCTCAGACCTCAGCCGTGCACTTCACGGGAGGATGCCAATCCATCTCCTTTCAGGGAAAACACAGACCCTCTCCAAAACTATCCAATGAGAAAACCTGGGCCGGATGTGCAAATGGCCTTTCTAACCACAGCAATGGCCTTCTCTACAATCACTTTATCTTTGGAGAACATCGGAGCTGGCCATTTATTGCGGAGGGGCACATTTATTTTCTACGAATCTCATTTATATCTCAATGGCTAACTAGTCTCCTCGCCCCATTAGGAAGAGGGAGATGGCTTTGCTTCCTTAGTAATTTTGTCAAAGCTTGTTCGCTTTATGACTCTAATGTTCTGGATGGAGGAGAAGCCTGTGGGGATTTTTTCCGAGTGCACGTGAGGCTGTGCAGGCCAATACTGAGCAGCGGATGTCTCACGATGATCTCAGTTGGTACCGATCTCAGGGGCTGTGTCGCTTTGAGAAAGTGACTTCGTTTGTCTGGACCTCTTTCAGTTTTCATTTTAAAATGGTTATGATAAGTATTCTTTATAATTCTGCAACATACAGTCTTTGATTTTATGTGATAGTTTGGAGTTGTAAATACACTGTTTTGAAAATCATTGTATACAAATAATAAAAGTCATTTTTCCGTGTAACTAGTGTTATGTATATAGCACCTGAAACAATGGCATGTAGGTGTCCAATAAATATGTGGTTGGTGCTGAACAAGTGTAGTCAATGAAGAAAACAGAATTTCCAGTCAATCATTGAACTAGATCTTGAAAATTCTTAAGAGGTTGGTAGTTAGAGGATGGGAAGTGGTTACTTCATGGAGAACTTCTTCATGTGCATAAAAATCACTGTGTGATGTTCAGAGATGAGAGGAAGGAGATTTTGCCAGTTTATGGTGTTTAAACTTTTTTAAAGAAGAACTGTTTTTTAAAGATTTTATTTATTTATCTTTAGAGGGGAAGGAAAGGAGAGAGGGAGAGAAATATCAATGTATAGTTGCCTCTCGTGTGTCCCCTGCTGGGAACCAGCCTGCAACACGGGCATGTGCCCTGACTGGGAATTGAACCACGATCCTATGGTTTGCAGGCCCTGGCTCAATCCACTGAGCTACACTGGCCAGGGCCTAGTGTTTAAACTTTTTTCATTATAACCATTTGGAAGCCAGTTAAAGATTTGAGTATGGTTATTAGGTTTGTTTTTAGAAATACTGATATAACTTTGGGACAGGCATTGGGGGTGAACTGGAAAAACACCCAGGACATTTGGGAAACTTGAAATATCACAAAAGTGTTAGTGGGGATGGAAAACCACTAAGCTGAGGGTGAAATTCCCAAGAACTAGTGCCCCATCCAATGGGGCAACTAGTGCCCCTCGATGAGAACATTGAGGGGAAAAGAGAAGTTTCTTTCAACTAAATAATACTTTTCAATGCAGGGGCATACTACTGGACCTAAGGAACATTTGTCTTATAGGATTCACAGATAATACAATAATAAGGAAAACAGAAATATAGGGTGATGAGTTTAATTTTTAATTGAATGCATGTCTTTAGTTTATAGGTGATTTATTAATAAAAGGGCATTTAAGAGGAAATAGCCAATAGGCATTCCTGTTTTTTAAAAATGTAAAAGACTTAGGAGACACCTGTACGAGAGACACCTTCTTGATTCCAGAATCAAGTGGCACCTGAGTTCTCACTGCTCACAGTCTGACGCACACCTTTGTGACGTGACTTGGCGGGTGCCCGTGTTCACCCCAGACCTCATTCTGTGTTCGCCACCGTGTCCACAGGGCCCCGAGTCTGGTCTGAGACAGAGGAAGAGGCCACGGTCTAGATATTGCTGTGTCAGTGGGGAAATGGACAGAGGACTTCTTTCTAAACTTGGCTTTGTTTGATTTGATTGCTTGTCATGTTTAATGCGCATTGGAACACAGTCAAATCTGAACTGTGGGTTACAAGAAGTATCAGGAAGCAGCATGACAGAGTGGAAGGGTGATGGGCTTGGGGGTCAGGGGGACCTCATGTCTAATGTCAAATTTACATTGCCTGAGTTTTTCATTTGATCATGACCATAAAACTTTATAGAGTTGCTGGCAATCTTTAAAAATAATCTATAATGTAGTTTGCACAATAGTTTTTACTCATCGGATGTTAATGTAATTGGTATTTCTGTGGACTTAGCTAAATGGCTTGACTATATTATGGTGAAAATAATAGCAGGTTAGCTATCTTTTATTTTTTTTAAATATAGTCTATCTCCTACATGAAGCAGCCTACTTATGTGAAATAATTTCATCAAAATATAGTCAAAAACCACCTTTTGATACCCTTCTGCTTCCCTTGGTATTAACACAAATTATTTTTGCCCATGCATTTTTGGAAGTGGAATTCACGAAGTGTGTTTAACAGGGCTGCATCAGGAATGTCTCTTACACACTTGTGCTGATCCAAATAAAACAGCAGGACTAGGAAAACTCATCACTCATTCCAGAGAAGTTACGAGGAGAAATAGGATCATTTGGGTAAAAATACTCAGCCACGGAAAATGGTGCATTTACATAAAGAAAGGATAATAACATTTGAGAATAATATTCCCCACAACGTGAACTTACTCATTCATCCTTCCTTCTTTCCATCCCCGGGGGACAATAATGAGGTTGATTGCAATCAAGATGGGCTTGTGAGGCTGAGAGAGAGGGACTTCCGGTGCTGGCCGAGCGGCTTGTGTCTTTTGGTTCTGGGCAGTGACCATCCCCTTGCTGTGTTACAGATCTACTTGCGATTCTTGGACTATGAGATGCAGAACTCCAACGAATGCAAAAGGAACTTTGTGGCCGTGTACGACGGCAGCAGCGCGGTGCAGGACCTGAAGGCCAAGTTCTGCAGCACGGTGGCCAACGACGTCATGCTGCGCACGGGCCTGGGCGTGATCCGCCTGTGGGCCGATGAGGGCAGCCGCAACAGCCGCTTCCAGATGCTCTTCACGTCCTTTCAAGAACGTAAGCCTCTCTTCTGGCCGCCAGTCCTTCCGAGGGCAGGGTGAGGCCAGCCCCGAAGGCACCAGCACTTTTCCCTCGTGGCAGTTCAGGTGGCACAGGCTGTGCCTGGCATCACGGGCAGTCCCCTGCCTTCGTTGGGACCAGGGACAGGAGAGAGCTACCTAGAACATTCTATGTATTTCTTTTTTTTCTTGTGTATTGTTTATGTCACTACACTCCCGCTTTCTCTCCCTAGCCCCACTTCCACTCAGGCCCATGCTGTCCCCTCCCTAAGTCAGCCCCCACTTCCTTGTTGGTCCCTGGGTCACACACAGATGTGCTTTCCTGGATCTCTTCACCATCCTTCATCCAGTCCACCCCAACCCCCGTCCCACCCCCGTCCCACCCCCCACAGCTGTCAGTCTGTCCACGTGCTTCTGTTTCTATTTTGTTCCTTAGTTTATTTTGTTCCTTAGATTCCACATATACGTGAGACCACGTGGTATTTGTCTTTCTCTGCCTGGCTTATTTCATTTAGCATAATAGTTTCCGGGTCCCTCCATGCTGTCACAAAAGGTAGGAGTTCCTTTTCTACTGCTGCATAGTATTCCGACGTGTAAATGTGCCACAGCCTTCTTATCCACTCATCTACTCTTTGGCACTTGGGCTGTTGCCAGCTCTTGGCTGTTGTGAGTAGTGATGCTATGGGGTGCATAGGTTCTTTTCGTATTGGTGTGTCGGGATTCTTTGGGTATGTTCCCGGAAGTGGAACCACTGGGTCAAGACAGAGTTACCTTTTTGATTTCTGGCTACTCATTTCTGCACAGGTGTCATAGTCTTGCTTCAAACAAGTCCCACCACTCAGCTGGGACATGATGAGTTCTCTCTCTTGGGCTGAACTCTTACAAAGGTTATAGAACAGATACAGCAGCTTCGGTGAAGTTCAAGTACAAATATTAACAACCGACACAGGCACATTTGGTTGATTCTCTTTAGTATGCTTCTCTTGTAGTTTCTGTGAAAGTAGGCAGAGAGAGAGAATGGCTTGGGAAGGGAGCAAATATATAGAAAAAAGTTTCAGAATATATTTTAAATGGCACAGTGGGCGATACCCAGACGTAGCTGCAAAGCATAGCAATTTTAGAAAATTATGTTCTAACAAATAATGAGTCATATTAATAGATATATATTTGGAATGTTCTTTAAAAACCATGAATAATTCATATTTAATAAATGTATAGAAATAGAAAATAAACCAGAGTAATTTGAAGCTCTACACTTTTAAATACATCTGAAATTTCAAGAGTTTCTTAGTGGTAGGCACAACAGCTAATTTTTTAAAATTCATAAGTGCTAAATCTATCAGACAGTTCTTTCGTATAGTGAATAAATAGTTTGGGCCTTAAGTTGCTCTCTCGTCCCCCGGTTGGAGAATTCTAGAACACCAGATGTCTTGCATGTCACTCTGTCTTTCTAAATCTTGATAGCATCAGAGAGTGTGTTAAATATCTTACTCAGTATTATTGCAGATTTAACAGAGGGCTGCTCACTATGTATTCATTTCAAGAGTTGATCAAAATGTTAGAAGCAGTTCATTTTTACTTCAGTGAGGTATTTGGCCAAAAATCCAAACAATTCTTGGCATGTTCTGGAGTAGAATGTGAAGGTATTCAGGTCTAACAGCACATTTGGTGTTTTTCCTGCTGATTGACCTACCATCTCCCATGGACGTGCCTGTGGAAATGAGTTCGCATGTATTTCGTTCAATATTCTTTTTACCCTTAGACAAGAAGATATCGAGAACTCATATCCGATCTAAATGACAAATATGGAAGGGCTCACTAATGTTTTAGATGATACCAAGTTTTAAAAATATCAAAAAAGTCTGAAATATTTTTCAGAGCTATACCATAAGCTATAGTAGAGAGCAATTAAAAGATATACTCTTACATTTCAAATATCAAGTAAATGTAAATAGTTCAGGGGAACCCTGACTCGTAGGACAGCCTGAGTTCTCATTTCATTAAACCCAGTGTAAGCCATTTTAAATAACTGAGAAAGAATCTTAGGCAGTATTAGCTTATATTAGGGAAGTGTAGTAAACAGCCCAGAAAAGAGTCTAATGGGAAACCATACTGGCCCCAGTGCAGGCTGGGTAGCCCGTTCTTTCCTGGGTCACACTGATGAGGAGGAGAGGAATTATTCGAAGAGGTCGACCAGGATGCAGAAGCAGCTGCAGTCGTGCAAAAAAGCCAAAAGGAGAAGGAATGTTTTTTTTCAGAGATTCTTTTGTTCAAAATGTAGTAACTATCTTAGACTTATATTGGATGATATGCATTAATATCTGAATGGTAAGATGAATGTTTGTTAAATTAATTATAAGAGAATATTTGAGTCCAGTTTATGACAAAAACAAAGTCTAGCTCATAGGAGCTGTGATATTCCAAGACTGAATGCATCTGATAGAGGATACAGGGGCGATTCGATCTGAAAATGAATTATCGTCTGTTGGGAACGGTGTCGGGGAATGTCTGTCTTGGATCGGGGAAAAGGCTGGCTAATCTTTGAGGTCCCTTCCAACTCTAGGACTGATGAAGATCTATGATTCTTTAAATGTCTTTTCTTATATAAGAAGTGGTGAGTGATATCACACTGTGCATTTATGATTGGGAATATTTCTATTTGAGGTAAAAGGTGTAAGTTCCCATGCACATAATTAAATTACCTGCAGAAGTCATGCAAGTGGGTGGACTTTGCAATGACTAACCCAGAAGAATCAGGGTAGTCTTCTGCCATAGGACGAGCTCTTTATGTTCCTACGCAGTGGATGGATGACCACTCCCACCCGAATGGTGAAAATGGCAAAGGCATTCTTAGCGAGGATCTCACACATTTACATTAAGCTTCGATGGAGAGAAAGTTATTCTGTGTCTCTTTGCCTATGTAGTTTTGTTTCTGTATTTATCCAATGGAGATGGGCACATAGGGGCACCCCAAAAGAGACCTCGACATTTTATGTCTTAAATTTGACAAATATTCTTTAACAAAGATAACTTATTTAATATGTAAATGTATCCTGAAATGAATACTAGAATTTATCGAACACTGTAACCACCCAACCTTTGCTTAACCATCAGAAGCATCGAAAGATCACAGTGTCAGTAACTAAAAGGTCCTTTTGAGAGGTGAAGGTTATGCCTAACAGGTCCTCTATCAGACTAGGGGCTTCCTGGAGGATTAAAGGGTCCTCAGCCATCACGGCAGGAGCCAAGGAGAAAGAAAGAATGATCTCAAACAGATCTATGGGTGTGAGTTTTGTCTAGGCAAATAAAACCTGGTGAATTTTGAGCAAGGCCCATGAGGTTCTCGAGAAAACGATTTCAGCAGAGACGCTGTCAGCTTGGACAGAAAGGGGCAGGGAGTCCCAGCTACAGAGAGGTTGTCAGAAGCCCCAAATCCTAAGGCTGTGAAGCAATCTGGTAAAACTACATAGCCACAAACATCTGATACCTTTCCAGGACGGTTCTGAGAGCAGTTGCAGGGGCCTGGAGGGCAAAGCCCACAGCTTTGGAGGATTAAGTCCTAGAACCTGAAGCAGAACCGGGAAAAATCCAACAGTCCCCCTGCTGGGGTTCAAAATGGTTCTGGGCTAGTGACCCCTGTGTGCGCCTCTGTTTGTTCTCTTTGCTCGTGAGCCACTCTCTACACCCGTCATCTTTTGCCGGTCCCATCTTTGTGTGTTGGCAGTGGTGGGACACACGGCTTGTCTCTGGTTTCATGCCCACCTGCCCTCAGGGGTAGGACCCGCACTCCAGGGTCTGACGCGAGGCTCCTTGAAGGGCTTTTCTCAGGGGGCCCATTTCCGCCGTATTTAGGTGACCGAGGTGGTGAGCGTTTGGACCTCGATCTGGTTTGACCTAAGAGGAGATTTTGGACTTCGGGTTGACGTGGTAGCGGGGCGATGCTCTTTGGAGCCTTGGGAAAGCACAAGTGTATCTTGTACCTGTGAGGGAAGGAAGCACAGAGCCAGTAGATGTACTATGACAGGCAGAGATTTGTGGTGACCACGGTATTTTTATTCCCAGTGTACAAGCCCTGGTTATACCCCTCCCTGTGCGTGCAAGACAAATCCGTGACTATCACGGGGTGTCACTCTGTGGTCACGTTACATTATAAGGCAAAAGGGCGGAGGTACAAGTAGTTAACACCCCTGATCACGTGATTTTGAATTAATCTGAAAGGAGCCTTTCCTGGTTGGTTTAACTACACACAAAAACATTGATCATAATGTTTATGCCCTTTTAAAAGGTGCAGAGGTCAGGATGGAGGAAGTCAGAATTCTAAGCTGTAGTGAATATTCCTTTTGGCCTTAAGGGATCACACGGTCATGTTATAAAGAGGGCCACTGGGCAGGGGATGGTGGGTGTCCTTTAGGAGCTGAGAACGTCCCCCAGGGGACAGCCAGCAAGAAAGCAAGAACCTCAGCCCTGCACCCCCAAGGGACTGGATTCTTTCCATAACCTGGATGAGCTTGGGAGCTGCCTCCATGCTCCAGGTAGGAACCCAATCCAGGGTCTTTGCTTCCAACACTTTCAGGGAGAGAACTCACCCACCGCAGACTTTGGGCCTGCATAGCCATGAGGTGGGAAATGGGCATCGTTTTAAGCCAGTAAGTTTGTAATAATTTGTTAATCAGCAGTAGAAAACTAGAACATTCATTTAATGTGATAGACAGCCCGAATGTCAATCCATATATGTTACAAATCAGTCAAAACTTGGAAAAATTATTTTTCAGACCTCTGAAATAGCATGAAAAGATGTGTAAGAGTACACATTTGCTGTCAGTGAATTCATTCTGCCACTTTCTCTGCGTGTAACACCTTGACTTTAAGCCTCGAACCCTTTTCTAGAGAATGGGCACTATCTCGGGCAGCCGTGAGTTCCCAGCGTGTGTGTCTGTAAGAAAGTGCGTGGCCGGGAGATGGGGGCGCCCGGTGGGTCCGTTCTCGGTGTAACAGCAG